TCGAATTGACCCAATCAGATCGCACAGAGGGTTAGAGGAAATTTACTTGTTTAAGGTCACGAGTAAGAAAGACAAGATGATGTGAAACGATGGAGCAATCGCACTGTATAATAAATATTTTGATTTTTTGTTCATCATTCTTTAGATTTTATTTCCACGGACACAGTTCACCCAGTCAACCGTACACCTGGAAATCATGTCTCACTTTTATCAGAACTCATCAATCGTATTTCTATCGTGTCCGTACCGGGGTTCACCAGAGTCAAATGTCATCGATGAGCAACATTCGGTTACTATGCTTGTCAGTATTGAAGCAACCGTATATGCTGTTTCAACTCTAGTCAAAATCCTCCGACTGGTTTAGATCTTTCCCGAATGTAGTTCGTCTAAAAAGGTCTAAAATAGCATGCCTATACCGAACCGTCATAACAGACTTAGTTGGTTTAGATTCTTGTGACAGGAGTTATTATGAGAACATAGATTGATTCCGTTCGTGGTAAATGACTGGCTATCATTGAAGATGGATGATGATATTGGAGTAAACCGAGCTGCGTGATTCTCACAATGGTAATAACAAAGGAATCTATGCGACGGGTTCGATGCATAAACCTCGTATGGACTAATGAGTACACATCAATCAACAATGGGTGTCAGGGAACAACTGTTCAGTACGGTGCTTCCGAAGTGAATGAACTAGCGGTTGCGATACAAAAAAATGAGTGTGGAAAAAAAAATGATTAGTTACGAGGATAGAACTATGTATTGAATATCGATCGTCATTGGGAAGTGATTTCGAGCTTAAATGATCACGACAAACGATTGCATTCATTCACAGATCGTTTCGTAAACTGTTCCAGTCACGTTATTTAAGCTTTGATGATTCGAATGCCTCCGAGAGGGGGAAAATGGAGAGAGCAATGAGGAAACACGGGATGGCTAAAAGATCAGTTCGGATGTGTGATCCAAAAATTTGATCGACAGATATGGGGAACCGGAAATAAACGGTTTTTTTCGCGAGCATGGAACAGGTGTTATTTATATCATAAAGGGAGTTATTTCGAACGTAATAGATACATACAGTGGTGGTGGTGCAGTGCAGTAGTTTGTAAAAGGTCAACGATGATCAAATTACAGCCTTTCGAGGGATTTATAGCCCCCCCCCCCTCAATCAGGAAACTTGATTGTGTAGAACGGTCATTATCGATCATATACCAGTAAACATTAGGACCAAACAGCGGCAAGGCAGACAAGTGGTTGATCACATTAAACTTGCAACCAAAGTCAAACGTTTCGACGAGGTGCTCCATCCACTATTTTACAGATACTTTACCTCTCCATGACACACTTATTTGAATTGTAACCAGTTGTGTTACGAGTTTCCGGTTAACAGTTAAGCAAACGAGATAGATAAGCGAAACTAAATAAGCGGGGATGAGAGGGGGAGAAGTACGAAGCATCATCAGACTTACTCGAGGCAAAGTGTTCTGTGGAACCAGAGCTAGACAGTATACACTGACTTGATGAATACTGTCCACCGCCTGGAGAACAAGTGACATCCATGTAAATGCGGTTTCATCTGAATAGCCCTGACGAAGTTCAGCCACAATGACTATTCGTTCATCTTTGAGCAATTCAATGGAAAACACGGCGATTCTGAACCATAAACAACAAGATACATATCCGAATGTGAAAGATATATTATTATTCTACACGGGGATAAGAGAAGTGTAAGTGTTACAAATCGAAACAAAAGTGACAAAAAAGCTATTAAATACAAACGATTAACTACAAATACCATCGTCATTCCATAGAATCTATCGGGTTAAAGAGAACTGAATGCTGCCAGGCGTGTCCCCGGGTTGTGGTTAGCTGTGAATAAGTTGTGGTATATCACAATAAATAACCAGTCATGAACAAACAGCGGCGGGTGTAGTGGGTTTCAGGCTGGTCACCTAGCTCTTGTTTAAAAGCCGCATAAGCCCAATAACGGTGTCATGACAAAGGTCGATGTGACTGGCCTTTTAAAACCTAAATCATTGACCCCCTCACTTCCGGGGCGAGGGATTACTTCCTGCTACCCCAGAATTAAGTTAACTTACTGAGGTCACTGTACTCGCATACCTCTGGTCGTGTAAGAGTCTATGATGAACTAAGTAGGCCATTCGTCACCGGTAACGGCGTTCGTCAACGATGCCCTCTCTCGCCGATCCTGTTAAATCTCGTCGTAGACGAAATCCTGGAGAACGCACTAAGTGGTCTCCAAACGTCGGTATTGAATGGGCAGGTGGAGAAAAGCTGTGCACCCTGGAATACGCCGATGATGTCGTGTCTGTTCGAATGTATGGAAGATGCGCAAAGCACACTTGATAGACAACCAAGTGCAGTTGCCACATTCGGTATGTGCTTTGCACCTTCAAAGTGATGCTGCAGGACTGGGTATCGTCTACTCCCGCTCTGAAACTAAATGGC